CTTGTGCGCAACAAGGCACTTTCTTCAGCGCGGGATTCGGCGCTGCTCCTGCCGAGCAGCAGAGGTTTCAAGTGGCTTCGCCCACAGAAAGGCGAAACGAGAAACAATTGAAAGCGTGAACATCCCGCAGCAAACAGGGACTTACAAACGCCTTTCTGCACAGGGAATACTTGTCTCGGTGACAAACGCCGACAGTTGCTGCCGCATTTGTCGTTTGGTGAATTCTTCCCGAGAAGCTCGCCAGGGGGTTCCTGCGCCGTTCGAACCACCTGTCTGTACACCCGAGGGAGGATCGTCGCGCCCGCGTCGGGCCGGTCGATCACAACTGTTTTCGTTCCTTGCAAAGCAAAGATTTGGCCGTTGCAGTTGACGGTTTAGATCATTTTCCACCATTATTTCCCCCATATCTGCCATTATTTTTCCCATTTCCGCCATTATTCTCCCCGTTTCCCCTCCTCTGTTCCCCACTGATCCCCCCAATGTGCCTGCCTCCAGGGCTACACTTGTGTTGGTGTTTGTCCTTGCCCCTGCTGTTCACCTCCGAGTGGCTCGCGCGCAGTCACGAGGCCTCCCGCTTTGTCTGTGGGCATTACTGGCGGGACCTGAACTTGGATTTTGGACACTTCAATTTCAATATTGAAGGAAATGGCCAGCAGCCAAGCAAGAGAGTTGAAAGCAGAAAGACATATAAAACAGAGATGCAAAAGTCTTGTTCGCGAGCTCAACAGCTCATTCCACAAGCTATCGGCAGCAAATTCGCGCCCTCTCATTAGCCACCTGTAGTCTCTTTTGATAATTTTTCCCACATGCAAACTAAGCTACTAAACTGCAAATAAATTTTGCCTAACTAGAGTGCCCTACACACTGAATTCTATACTCTATACATCAATGATATACAATATATATATCTCTGCGATATGTATATCTATAAATGTAGCGTTTATATATATATGTATATATGTATATATACATATATATATATATATATATATATAGATGTCGCGTTTTGACCTCAGCCCTCAGGGCCAGCGAAACAGGTCCCTACAAGTCCATGCATATATAATACACATTATATAGCGTATGCATATATATGTGTATGTAAATGCGCAATTTCAAGGGCCAACGACGCAGACCTCTCGACGTCTATACACACACACGCATCTAACATAATATACATATATATACATATTACTATGCACAATATACATATATATTATAAATATTGTACGTAGTATACATATAATATATGCAAATGCGCATAAAAATGCGCAGTTTGCGGGCCAGTAGCCCGCGCTAGAGCTCCGGCCTGCGGACTCGCTGGCTGTTCAAGTAGAGCGCGCGCAGTGCGGGGCCTTCGCAGGGGGCGAAGAGCTCTTTGCCCAGTTCGCCGTTCACGAAGTTGTGCGCCTCGCACGCCCAGGCGCACACGCCCTCGCTGCCCGCGGACTGCAGCGGGTGGCCCTGCAGGCCCAAACACCCGCAGCTAGCTGCCCAGTGGCTAGCTGCCCAGCAGCTGGCTGCGCGCTAGCTAGCTCTAGCAGCCTAGTAGCTAGCTGCCTAGTAGCTAGCTGCCCAGCAGCTAGCTGCGGGCTAGCTAGCTCCCACGTGGCTAGCTGCCTAGTCGCCTAGTAGCTGGCTGCGGGCTAACTAGCTCCCAAGTGGCTAGCTGCCTAGCAGCTAGCTGCGCAACGGCCAGCTGCCAAGTGGCTAGCTGAGGGAGGGCTAGCTGCCTAGGAGGTAGCTGCGGGATGGCTAGCTGAGGGAGGGCTAGCTGCCAAGCAGATAGCTGCCAAGTAGCTAGCTGCCAAGTAGCTAGCTGCGGGCTAGCTAGCTGAGGGATAGCTAGCTCCGGGGTAGCTAGTTGCGGGAGCTAGCTAGCTTGGGGCTAGCTAGTCTGAGGCTAGCTACACTGGGGCTAGCTAGCTAGCTTGGGGCTAGCTAGTCTGGGACTAGCTAGCTTCGGGCTAGCTAGCTGACAGCTAGCTAGCTGGGGCTAGCTAGCTCGCTGGGGCTAGCTAGCTCGCTGGGGCTCACAGCCACGTAGGGCGCGATGTGGGTGCGGCATTCGCTGCAGGGGTAGAGCTTGAAGAAGGCCCCGAGCCACGCCTTCATGCGCTGCTGCTGCGCTTCAGTCTGCAGCAAACCGCGCAGCAGCAGCAGCAGCAGCAGCGGCAGGTGCAGCGGCAGAGATCACACAGCGCTGCTGCAGCAGCCCTGCGGCCCCTCGGCGCAGGACTTAGCAGCAAATGAGTCTGCGGGGCGCGCGCTTCAGCAGCAGCAATCTAAAGAGCTGCTCACGGGCTCTTGAGGGAAAACAGCAGCCGATCTGTGCAGCAGCGCCCAAGAGCTTTGCCCCAGCTCCAGCCGATCTGGGGGCTCTGGCCCTCGCAATCCCATCAGTCTTCTCCTGAGAGAGGCCTCAGGCGAGCGCTGGCCGCAGGAGGCTTCTGTGCAGCGTTCGACTTTGCGCAGCGTAGCGGGGTCAGTGGCTCCTGCGCTGATGGCCGCGGCCACGCCAGCAGCAGCCCCTCCACGACTCAAAGAGGCCCCCGAAGCCCCCCCTGGGGGCCCCTGGGGGCCCCCTGAAGCCTCCGTTTGGGGCCCCTGGAGGCCCCCTGAAGCCGCTTCTGCGTTCCGCTGCATGTTCAACTCATGGCTGACCAAGGCAGCTCTACACCCCCTCTTGAGCCCCGCAACGGAGGACCCAGGGGGCCCCTTTAGCCTTAAATGACTTTAAAGAGTAAAAACGAACTCTCTGAATTCCTGGGGCCCAAAAGTGAAGCGCTTTCTTCGGGCGTATGGGCAGCCGCAGGCAAGCACATGCTGGCTGAGCGAGGAGGCCGCAGCAGCAGCCGCCTGACCGCGCCGTTCTCTATCTTCTATATTTGTTATTGCTCGGATTTAAAGGTAAAATTCACTATTTGCTGCGGAAAGCGAGGAAAATGCGGCAGCTGCGGGCGAGCTAAGTGCGACTTTTCGCAAAACGCTGCTGGGGCCCTAGCGCTGCTGCGCGCATGCTGCAACTTGAATCGCTGCGGCTGCCGCTGTTGTTGCTGCTGCTGCAGTTTTGGGAAGGTGGCAAGTGACCCGAAGGGACCTGCAATAGATTTCAGCAGGCATTTCTTCCGCCTGAGGGGGAGAGCGTGCTGCTTTACTGGGCTGCGGGGGCTGCTGGCTGGAGGGCCGCTAACTGCTGCTTCTTTTCCATTCTCGCTCCTGCGCAGCTTCTGTTTCTCCAGCTCTAGAGAGCAGCAGCAGCAGCCTCGAGCTGCGGCTGCTTCTGTT